ATATTATTTCCTTCAATAAAGAATAATATTCATCCTGCTCTAACCGAGAAATAATCAACTCAGTCTGTTTGAACCCATTAAAAACATAAAAAAAATTAGGCTATTTAAGAAAAATTTAAGCGCCTGCCTTCCATGGTCAGTCTTTCATGTACTTTTAAGTTTGTAAAGACCTAATATTAAATACTTGCATAATTTCGAACGTTCATATTTCAGGAAACAATGAGCTAAGACTTACATGTAAGATGTCTAAATCTACGCCATATCCCTTACAAACCCTAACGACAATTCGCTGAAATACAAGTTAGCCTGATATGTCATTTATTAAATTAATTTAAGCAAACAAACGCTGGAGTTAATATTTGATATGCCGATTTTCGCTAATTTTAGGCACATCCCAAAATATGCTCCCGATTTTGAACATTAATATCTCCGTGAATTTCTAAGTAAAATGCAACAGTAATATATCAAAATCTAAGTTAGTCCTTCCTCTATCTAATGCAAGTTATTTCTGTTTGATAGCTTTACTTGTTTAGAAGTTATTATAAATCAAACCGGAGTACTTTTTTTGGGACACCCGGTATATATATATATATATATATATATATATATATATATATATATATATATATATATATATATATATATATATATATATATATATATATATATAAAAATTAAGGTACAATTGACTATTGAGCCTCGCTTTCGTGACGAAGGTCTCGGATTTCGAGCCTTTTATCCTGGTACATGCATGGTGAAGTAATTTTGTAAAGGTGTTTAACATTCATAGTTGTACATATATCAGCAATAACAATCACGAATATGGGGCTCTATAGCCTGAAGCGATCCCCCCATTTCTAGAATATTGTATCGTATCGTATTGTATCGTATCTGATTGTATTGTATTGTATTGTATTGTATTGTATTGTATTGTATTGTATTGTATTGTATTGTATTGTATTGTTTTACAGGAGGAGTTAGAGAGTTGCCATGTGAAGCGATGTACTGGACGAGATAAAGAACCATTTAGATTGAATATGACTGCTTATATAAAACCTGCAATGTAAGTACAGTGGCTTTGAGTTAAATGAAAAACTGTCAGATGTTGTGTTGGTATATTGAAATTCATTTTCCAATCACGACAGTCTCGTAAAAGAGGGGGCTTTCAAGTTCAAGATAGCCACAGAGAAACGCATCTACATGGAACAAGTGGCAAAACATGTTATCTGCGTATACCATTACAGTATAAACATTAGGCGCAGATTCAGGATCGTCTGATATAGTGAGTGAAGTCTGTGCTAAAGGGCGCGCCCTTTCACCAGCACCCCAAAAATGAGATATATCAAATGGAGATTTCAGTTCTCTATACGTAAGATCATTTACTCAGCCAGGTTTTTGCATGCAAACTAAACCCCACGTTGCACAAGATAATTTTCCTTGCAGCGCATTTACTTCATAACTGCGACAAGTCGTTTGAGTATGGTATTGTAGGTAGGAAAACGAGGCGGATTTAAACGCTGGTTACTCTTTTGTTTATTCTGTGCAAATAGTTCACTTAACATGGCCCTGTATCCGACGTTGCAACCACTTTAGTAATCTACTGCAGCTAACTCCCGACTATTTTCTTCAAGTGCATTTTACATGTCAAAGGAAACTTACGCTCTGTATGGGTAACAATTACTTCTACGTAATATAGTTTGTCCATTTCCGCTGATGATGAAGGAACACACTTTAAGACAAGCGCTGGTGATTTACTGAAAATATCTAATGGTACTATCTTTGAGGTAAGCACGATTTACCTATTCTATGTTTATTTTTGGTAACATCCTCGTGTTTCCTGCACGATCTCTCTTTGATCTCGACACCATGAAGATATAATCGTTCTTCTATACATTTATTATTCATACATTAAAAAGACCTGATCGACTCGTGTGTGCCTGTGACGGATTCACATAATTATCTGATTTAAATGCTTGATAACATTTGTTCCGTTTTATGTAAACATTATCAGCCCTCCACAGCCCAGTGCCCCTCCCTCCATTACACCCCATTCTACCAGGTGGGTATTTTAGGCAACGGGCATAAAAATGTGTTTGGTGATATTCATATATACAACTGCATATTGTGGCTTAGTGAGTTGACCTGACCTGATCTGGCGGACCTGAAGTAACAGAAGAGAAGATGCTTTCTTTGCCCGAAAATCTTCAATTTGGTTGACTTTCACAAACTTTCGGCTAAGGGCGTTCGGGGACAGTATAGAGATTCAGATTTAATTTAACTTCCACTACCTCTAACTGGCTTAGTACACATCTAATTGGTTAATTAACAAATAATTTATATAACATTTTCCGTGTTGATATACAGTTATATCAAGACGAGTGGGAATTGGGAAAACGAGAAATTGTGGAAACACGACACCCGAAGGACGGAGTGTTTTCAAACAATTTCGAGTTTTACAATTTCCACGAGTGTTGATATAACTGTATATCAATACGGAAAAATTTATATATTTTTTTTTATAATATAGCACAAAGAAATATAAAGAAAGAAATTTTCCATGTTGACATTGAGTTATATCAACACGGCTCTTAGCCAATCAGCGTTCAGAATTTACAAATGTTATATTATAATCGAATATATCAAACGCATCTGGGAAGTCAAATCTGAATCTCTATAATGGGCTCTCGGAGACGTTAGCCATACATACGCGCTCGCGTCCATATTAGAATTATAAACTTGTAAAAACTAAAACCAACAATGTTTTTCTTTAGACAATGAAAGAAGTTCACAAGACATCTCATTATACTTTATCCAACACAAGTCAAGCTACAGTTTCATTTCGTCTACTTGTCGAGAAACCATTCAATGTCCTCGATATCAGCGCTCCACCTTCTGCCTGTAGTAAAGATGACGGTAACATAACGACCAGTAAGATCATATCATTGAAACCAAGAAGAAATGTTCAGGTTTGACATTAATCGTCGAATTTTAGTACTTGTAAATTTTAATAAATCCGAAAAGGGCGCGCTAGTTCAAAAGTGATTTCTATATATGCTTCTTGTTACTCGATCTCTCTTTCCTACATTTTATATATTTTCTTCCAAATTTTACCCAGCTCTAATCTCCGTTTGACCAGGGTCGGTTGTTGGGATTCTTGTCAACCACCAGCTCTCTTTCATCTCTTCATATTCTCTCACCTTCTCTGCAATGTACCACTCTACATCTTCTTCAAATCCTTTCACTCCATTATGTCTTCGGACTGCTCCTCTTCATGTAACGTGTGCATAATATTTCACCCTTGCATCTCGCATCTTCTATAACTCCATATCGTCCTCTGATCTCCTCACTTCATGTTTCTAACGCAAGGCTTTCCTTCATCTCTTCATTGTAACGTGTGCACACTATCTCACCCTTGCATCTCGCATCTTCTACCACTCCACATCGTCCTCTGATCTTATCACTTCATATCTCTGACTGGCTTTCCTTCATCTCTTCCTATAACGTGTGCATACTATCCCACCCTTGCATCTCACACCTTCTACCACTCCACATCGTCTTCTGATCTCTTCACTCCGTATTTCTGACTGGCTCTATACAATCCATACAATTTGATATTACCGTAAATTCTTTGCAACGTCTGCCACTTCACATCTTCCTCATATAGGATTCTTTATATGTATGTATTAATGGTTTGGAACCTTAAAGAGAATCCCTGTATTCATCTTATCTTAAGGCACCTATTGTTTAGAATAACTAAAATAGAGTGAAAGTAATGGCCACTATATAATAATTTCTTATGATGTATTTTCAATTTGAACGTTTAGATTGCTGTTGGATTTTGTCTTTCCCATGATATGTTATCAGACGAAACTCAAACAGATGACGTCATTGAGTCGAAAGAAAATGGAGTATTACCAATTCTTAAAATGGAGAAAAACCTTCAGATTTTGTTTTCAAATCAAACGTCACAGGTAATATTATTGTTAATAATGAAATTACCATCGCCGGATAATTTTACCGTTAGGGGTCTTATACCTGTACCTTAAATCATCTATTTTCTCAAATGAACCCCCACCTTCACAACAAAGAAACACATGTGGGATGATTAGATGTGTTAGCTGTCCCGAAAATTCCTGATACCATTCGTTTTCCCATTCATGATAATGGTATATCATATTAATACTTGTATCGTGTTTGACTAACGTATGCCATTTCATAGCCAATGGGGTATATTAATTAATAAACTTGAATGAATAATGATGAACAGTCTTCTCCATTAAACCCCGCTACCAAATAAACCCTTCCCTCCCTCTCTCAGATGTGCCTGAAATAAATATGTCACCGGGAGGGTCGTAAAGAATTTACGGTAATATCAATTTGTTTCAGACGTTACCACTCACCGCCACTGTTTCACTGCCTCATCTCCTACTCTCCAAAGAAAGAATAGATTTTGGTTTAAGTCTCGTTGGACATACAAAGGAAATGAGCGTTAAACTGACAAATTTTGGAAAGTCTGCCAGTTGTTGGTTTGTAGAGAAAGGTGAGGATATCATATAAAACTTCAGACTGCGAACTCGTGTAGGCATGGTATCTTTTATGCTAAGGTCGATTCCCATTAACAGACACCTCTCTTAAGGGACACCCCTTTCCAAGCATACACTTATCCCCGGTGCCAATGTTTTACTAAAATGATATCATAACCAATGGATGGTCTCGTTAAATTTTACAAAGCTCAACAGCAGCAATCAATTTTACGACTTTGACTATAAACGTGTCTTCAAGAATAAGTTATCAGTCTAATTATTGCGCCATAGAAGAGCTCAAACCTGCGTAGTTAGCGTTGGTTATCCGTTTATTAATATCCGTTAACCTGAAAGTGTTTAGCTTTATGCTTGGCTGGGTTTTTTACAAGACAATTGTATTCTGTTAATTTTGACGCTCAAACGAGGAATTTGTTTGCTTCTGTGTCAGCGAGGTCTCAAACGTTTCCGCTTAAAAGTGGTTCGACTGTATACAGTTATTTCAATTAAGGTTGTCCACGAGTAAAGCGAAAAAGTCGAATACGAGCGCGAAAGGCTGCTGGGAATCTCTAAAACATTAATGGATTTATTAGCGATTCCCAGCATTTTTTCGCGCTCGTATTCGACTTTTCCGCTTTGCTCGGGGACAACCTTAATTGAAACAGCTGTATATGCAAACTTTCATAGGAATTCGACGTATTTTGCTTGAAGCAACACTATTGATTGCTGAAATTCAATGTTTTAGATTCCCGTTACCCTGCAGAAAGTCGTGAAGTATTTGGAGTTGAACCACCATGTGGCTTTCTTGAAGGACATATCTCCAATATAAGCAACAATAATGTCTTACTGAAGCTAACGTTTGTTGCAAGGTACTGTGTTGTTTATATCTCACGTAGCATGTGCTTGGATAAACTTGCTTGAACATTGTTTCCTGGCCCTGTTCCCCAAAGGAGGGCAAACCAAAAAGCATTTGCCTGTAGAATAAGTAAATTGCTCACTGAGAACAATTACTGGTTGTGTTATTTCCAGGCGTAGATTGAAAATCAAAGATCAGGAAAACATGTTAGTGAACCAATAGTCACACATGCATGCGAAATTAAAACAAAATACTTTTTCGTGGTCGTTGTTGTCATTACATCTTCTGCACGCAAAACAAACACTGAACTTACTAAAGACCAATCTCAAGTATTTCATAGCGTACTTTAATTTCTGTTTCAGGAACTGTATTGACTACGAGTGTATGTTAGTTTTCAAGGGATTACTTCATGAACCAGCTCGCTATTTATTGGTCACCGCACGTGGTTCATATGATGGCGGACATGAAGATTTAGTTACCACAGCAACGCTATGATGTGTGGTAAAAGATAATAGCGAATTTGAGCAATGCTTGATTTAGTACGAGGATGTGGCAACAGTGCCACAGGGCTCGAAAATAGTTTTAAAGCGTATTTCTCCTGTCTATAGTTTTGTTTTTAAATTGGGATCTGTTGTAAAGACAGTTAGTTCGAAAGTTATTAACCAATCAAAATCACGTATTTCAGATTTAACTATACAAAATAGTCGTTTAAAAAATAGTTAAAAGTTTCATACAACTGGCCCCAGGTGTCAAGTTTTTTTTCGTGTAACTGAAATTGTAAAGTAAGCGACAGTTGCGTCACAGCACCGTGCTAGATTCAGCATTGCTTGAGTTCTCTAAAGTCTGAACAATAGACTATAATACATTCACTTTGTAAAAAAGTTAATGTTAATTTTGCAAATATTGTAAATATAATTTATTTGCCTTGTTACGGCAGTTTGAGCTTGCAAAACGACATTTTGACAATTAACACTATTGTACCAAGAGTATATAAAGTGGGTTTTTTTATTCACTCAAATGGTCAGATTATGTATATTTCATCTATATATAATTAAATAAATAAATACATGTTATATAAATACAATATTTTTGGATATCTATTTTGTGAACAAATTCTGAATGTACAGTTAAAACTGTTAATGCAATCGAAATCCTCGGTAACATAGATATTTCGTGATTTTATTGATGCACACATTTTGTGCATTTATAGTCACGTGTTGCCAGCGCCGATGGAGGATCGATTGAATGGCATGGGAATCACCCAGAATGTTATTCAGGCACTCAGCCTTAGTATGACACCACAAGGTTTTGTCATCTAATGTGAAAAATCTGAACATGGATGTGAAATGCGTAGTTTGATCAATTTAATAGTGCAAATAACCGGAGCGTGACGTTCATGAGGACCACCTCGGCCAGATTGGAGGCAACCAAACCGATTTGATATTTTAACTCCTCTAACAACTAAATTGTAGTATACCAACACACAGCAATACATGCACAGCTGAGAAATGCTGCCAGGACCTACTATAAGTTAGATCAGTTTATATCTTAAGTCCGCGCCACAGGAAGATGAGAGTTGGAATTCCAGCTCGCGTTTAAACCAGTGGTTTAACCATACACTCTCATCAACATTCACGTTAGTGAATTGATGAATGTTCATGAAAGTCAACTAGACAACTACACCTCCTGCTGTGCGGCCAGTTAACTCTCATCTTCTCTTTTAACCATAAGATACATGAAGGTTGATGGAACTCTCATGCAAACGCTCGTATGTTTGGTATGCTTCACCTGGCACTTGCTAAGCTGGATTTCATCTTGTTTTCAACTGATGGCCTCAGGCGTAATATTTTTGTCTTCTCCGATGAGCCTTCTCTAAAATGTTGTGATTTTGGTCTTGTGTTTGTAGTTCTAAACGACGAGGCAATGACAGGAGCAGAAGCACATGATCTCACACCGAGTTTCTTCTCACGACGAACTATCTCACGACGACACATTGGTAAACTTTGTGTTGTCATAGGACGACGTAGACCTGAAAGGATTATGTTATTGAGTGTTCTTTTGTGACATTAACTTTAAAATACCAACGATTATACATGCAGTAACTACTGTAGGTCGACTACAGTAACTCATACTGCCTTTTTGTTTCTGACAACAGGCTTAATATTTTGTAAATTTTCTCGCAATTTTCAAATAAAGTGTTCGGTTACATCCGTTATGAAAAAAAAACAAAAAACATTTTGAAGTATGATTTTTTTGGATTTACATATTCGGTCAATTAAGGTACTGTACGGCAATGAGAACAAACAGCAAAACTTTAGCCATCCAGTGCCATCTCAATTCCCTATAACCACAGTATTCTTTTTACCAAATTACCAGAAGAAATTAGGAACTGCAGAGACTACAGAGTATTCTACAATGAGACCAAGAATTTCTTAGTCTTAAAAGCATGGTCAAGACTTCAATGTGTAATCTTAGAAAGAAACATTTAAATGTACATAGTTTCGTACAGTTTTGTTCTGCATGTAACTTAGTTAATTCGTAATTTTGTACGTAAAATTTTGTCCTGTTGAACACGTCGTTATTTGTTCAACGTTATATTGCAGTAATATTCGTAAAAATACTTTATAGACTTTATGAATACTTTATAATTTATATATTTGGTAAGCGAAGTATTTATGAATACTTTATAATTTATATATTTGGTACCAATAAATCATTATTATTATTGTTAGTATTCTGGAATGTGCATGCATGTTGTATAGAACTCTGAAAAGAGTCAAAGGGATAAATGCGCCAATTCTCTATGTGAGCAGAAAATATTTCATGTAATTCTCGAGTACTTTTTCTGCACCATAGTACTGCATGCATTGAGGGAAAGACTTATACACTCTGTTTATATTTTCAAGTAGTTGCACCCTTCAACCAACATTTCGAACGAAGGTCTTTGTGACTGCTATACTTACGTTCTCCAACTGGCAAGCGACGTGGAACTGGAGGTCCACCGTTTATCTCAAGGCTGAAAGTAAAATGAAATACTAACAATCAATATGGAGGATATATACGAGCCTGTTAATCTCACACATGCATAATGATTCTGTTTCTAATCAGTTTTATTTTTTTGTTCATCTTGGCCTTATCAAAGAATGTAAGTTACTAAATTAATATTTTTGTGTCCATGAAATCAGACGGATAAATTATTAAATTTTGTATAACTGAAACCTCTCGATTTTAAAGAATTAAATTCAAGAAGGAATAAAATAAACAAACTTTTCTTTAAACATTTTTTCATATATGACGTGTTTCGTATGCTTGTATATCAAATAAACTGAATATACACATAACAAAGTGAGGAGACGAAAATCTTTCAACTAAATGACCTTACAATACGTTCTTTAAAATGAGATGATAAAATAAGATTTCAGATAAAATTAGAAGTTAGTGCATGGCACTTTAGATCATTTAACGCGCTTTTGGAATTTATTGCGAGGGAACCTACTTCAACCCTAAGATTAGCTGAATGGTTTGAAAACTCCCTTTATCATTTTGATCATGTATTTTGAGTATATACAACTCTACAGAAAAAAAGTAGGAAAAACCCTAACCTTTTGCTGGGCAGACCAACATTCACAGCTCGTCGCCAACTATCAACAAACTCCATACACATTTTTCCGCTGCCCAAGTTTTGTTCTAAAGCCGAGTATAATCCAGGTGTATTGCGACAGATCATGAGCATTTCACGTCCACCAGAACCATTAAAAGATAGATAACCCAATGCAACAGCTGCACTACGACATACTTGTTCATTGTCCAACATCAAGTTTTGAAACAAATACTTGATAGCACCTGGAAAAAATCACACGCGATATATCAAAGGTAACGAAAGGAGGCCTGGACACGAGGTTACACATTCAATATTCTGATTGAATTCAGAAGACACTTTTCCCATAATGAATTTCTTTTCATTCATTGCCAACAAAATTTAGCTGCCGTCCCTTGCGAATAGTATGCGAAGATATGTACACATGGATAATGCTCTAATGTTAAAATGAAATGGTAATTAGTGATTGAGATGACCTGAGTTGACCAAAACAGAGTTGGTCAAAATATCAGGAC